AAAGGGGGCCTGCAAATCCAGGCCAGGGTCCCTGAGTTGCTCAGCATGCCCAGCCGGGACCTGGGCCGATGAAGGCCCGGTGGGGTTTGGGGTTTAGGGTTTGGGGTTTAGGGTTTAGGGTTTGGGGTTTAGGGTTCGGGGTTTAGGGTTTGGGGTTTAGGGTTTGGGGTTCAGGGTTTAGGGTTTAGGGTTTTTGGGTTTAGTGCTTGTTAGGTTTTTTGGTTTGGGGTTTAGGGTCAAGGGCTTGAGTTGCAGGGTTTGGGTGTTGAGGGTGTAGGGGGTTGGGGTATCTCGGATTCAGGGTTGTTCAGGGTTCGGGCTGTCTGGGGTTGTCTTCAGGGTGTTCGAACGTCTGGGTAGCATCGAATTCGACCACCCCGTGCGCTGGTCTTAAATTATACTTGTGGGTTTCCGAAAATGGGGGGGGGGGGGTGCCCTTTTGGGGTCCCTTTAAGGGTTTAGGGTTTAGGGTTTAGGGTTTAGGGTTTAGGGTTTAGGGAATTAAAGGGCTACCCCCCAAAATTTGTGGAAATACCCATTTGGCTGCTGGGCTTAGGCTTCAGGCCCTGAGGTGCAGCGTTCTTGTGAATGATTCCTCCCTAATCCCTAAACCCTAACCCATGCACAGGTACATAAAGCCCTAGAGTCCCTAAAGCCCTCTAACCTTAAGCCAAAACCCTAAACCCCAGACCCTAAACCCTAAACCCTAAACCCTAAACCCTAAACCCTAAACCCTAAACCCTAAACCCTAAACTGGAGAGGCTCCGCCGAATGTTGGAGCTGTCCCATGGGTCGATGGAGCAGCACCGCCAGTGTGGGGAAGCCTGGTTCTGGGGTGCTTAGGCATTAGCTTAAGGGTTTAGGGTTTAGGGTTTAGATAGTTTTGAGTTTTGGGTTTCCGGTTTAGGGTTTAGGGTTTGGGATTTAGGGTTTAGGGTTTAGGGTTTAGGGTTTAGGGTTTAGGGTTCAGGGTTTAGGGCGTGCCTCCGATTTTGGCTGGACTGCTCACCCTAAACCTTAAACCCACGCCCCAAAACCCTCGTACATCGAAAGTCCGCAACCCGGAATGGCCCAGGGTTTAGGGTTTAGGGTTTAGGGTTTAGGGTTTAGGGTTTAGGGTTTAGGGATTTCAGACCAGGTGTGTGCCCATCCTTCCATGTATAGGTTGGACGATTCGGTAGTGCAAAGCTTTCGAGTGCCCCAGAGCTTCCAAGGAGTGGTGGGATAGGGCGAAAGGGTTTTGAGGGTTTAGGGTTTTTGGGTTTATGGTGTCGGGTTCAGCTTTTAGGGGCCCAAACCCTAAACCCTAAACCCTAAGCCCTAAGCCCTAAGCCCTAAACCCTAAACCCTACACCGTTTCAGGGTTTAGGGTTTCAGAGTTTTAGGGTTTCAGAGTTTTCGGGCTAGGACTGTGAATCGATTTTAAGGGCCCTTATACATTGCCCACGAGCCGTAACGCCATAGACCCCTCAAGCCTGAAATAGCCTGGTGCCTCTGCCCACGAAACCCCTAAACCCTAAACCCTAAACCTAGACCCTAGACCCGAAACCCTAAACCCTAAAATCCTTGATTTCCTGTCACCAAGGCGACTAGCATCGACACCTGCCGCAATTGCAGCGTGGGTCGTGCCTCGGGTTCAGCGTAAAGTTTAAGGGTTTAGGCCTACCGGAAGGTTAGGGTTTTTCAGGGTTTAGGGTTCAGGTTTTAGGGTTTAGGGTTTAGCATGGATAGCAATACCTCCAAGTAGGTTTCAATTTTTTGGGCACGCCAAGACAAGCCCAAATCCCTGATTAAGTTAAGGTCAGGAGGGCTGTAGGATCTAGAGGTTTGTGACACGTCTAGTATCATACCTCTAGCTCGAGGCGTGGTGCACGTTTGTTGGATTATTCCCACCGCCCCATCAGTAGCAGAAGAGGCTTCAGACTCAGGCTAAGTTCTTGCGGTTTAGGGCTTAGGGTTTAGGGTTTAGGGCTCAGGGTTCAGTTGTTCAGGGCTTGGGGTTGCCAGCAGCCCACAGCGCACCCGACAACAAAAGCCGGTGAGTAGGATCCCACCACCAAACCCCAACCCCCCCAAACCTCCTAGACTCCAAACCCCCAAGCTCCCCCAAACCCTAAAAACCCCTAAACCCTAAACCCTAAACCCTAAACCCTAAACCCTAAACCCTAAACCCTAAACCCTACACCCTAAACCCGAAACCCTAAACCCGAAACCCTAAACCCGAAACCCTAAACCCTAAACCCTACACCCCAGATCCCAACACCAGACACAGGCGCCGGAACCACCGAAGGCGCCACGGACCAGGAGGCCTGTGTTCAGTGCGTCGGGAGCTCAGAAGCCAGCTCGGGGCTCCCCCACTTAGGGTTTAGAGTTTGAGGGTTTAGGGTTTAGGGTTTAGGGTGTGAGGGTTTAGGGTTTGAGGGTTTAGGGTTTAGGGTTTGAGGGTTTAGGGTTTGAGGGTTTAGGGTTTGAGGGTTTAGGGTTTAGAGTTTGAGGGTTTAGGGTTTGAGGGTTTCGGGTTTGAGGGTTTAGGGTTTGAGGGTTTAGGGTTTGAGGGTTTCAGGGTTGAGGGTTTGCGGGTTCGGGTTTCGGGTTAGGGCTTGCAGTCGAAGACCCCTATGTGTCTCAGCGTCCTCCGCCCGACGCCCACATCTAACGAAGCACGCAGCTTTGGATAACTGAGGGATGTGGCCTACGTTTGAACATGTTTGAAGGACCACACGACATGCTTGTTTCCTGGCCACATTGTTCTGAAGGCTCCTTCCAGTCCGTGAAGTCGTTCGACGGCCCTTTGCTCTGGTAGCAGGTGCCAGCTTCGTCGCAAGCACCTTCGCTTCTCGGGTAGGTGGCTCTTTGCACACAGCGCTGTGTAAACAACTCTCTAGCCTATTCCATCATTCAAGGCTAATCCTGGACGGATCTCCACGACATAAACAACTCCCCAGAGTTTTCATACCGCAAGGGGCCAGTCCTTGTCAGTGTCCTGTGACCGAGCCAACTGAAGCTCTGTGGCACCCGTGTGATGCAGCGTCTCAGGGCGGGGCATGCAGCAGCAGCGCTCAAACGAGCTTGGAAAGGACAGGCTCTATGCGGACTGGACATGGATGCCGTGGATTCAATCCGATCCTTGACATTGAAGCAACCACTGTCAAGACTATCGCTGCAAGATGTGGGTTTGCCGAGAAACCTGGAGTCGTTGACCTTTGGCCAAGACTGGGACAACAGCCAGAGCTTGGTAAATGTGGTGCTGCCTCGCAGCTTGAAGTCGTTGACCTTTGGTGAGCTCTTCAACCAGAGCTTGGAGAACGTGGCGCTGCCTGGCAGCTTGCAGTCATTGACCTTCGGTTTTGCTTTCAACCGGAGCTTGCAGAACGCGGTGCTTCCTGGCAGCTTGCAATCATTGAGCTTTGGTCAGCTCTTCAACCAGAGCTTGGACAACGTTGTGCTGCCTGGCAGCTTGCGGTCATTGACCTTCGGCGATTGCTTCGACCAGAGCTTGGAGAACGTTGTGCTGCCTCGCAGCTTGCAGTCATTGACCTTCCACGGTGCCTTCAACCAGAGCTTGGACAACGTTGTACTGCCTGGCAGCTTGCGGTCATTGACCTTCGGCGTTTTCTTCGACCAGGGCTTGGAGAATGCTGTGCTGCCTGGCAGCTTGCAATCATTGACCTTCGGCAGTTACTTCAACCAGAGCTTGGAGAACGTTGTGCTGCCAGGCAGCTTGCAGTCATTGACCTTCGGCGTTTCCTTCAACAAGAGCTTGGACAACGTTGTGCTGCCTGGCAGCTTGCGGTCATTGACCTTGGGCGATTGCTTCGACCAGAGCTTGGAGAACGTTGTGCTGCCTCGCAGCTTGCAATCATTGACCTTCGGTTGGCGTTTTGACCAAAGCTTGGAAAACGTTGTGCTACCAGGCAACTTGGAGTCATTAACCTTCGGCGGTTCCTTCAACCAGAGCTTGCAGAACGTTGTCCTGCCTGGCAGCTTGCAGGCACTGACCTTTGGCGATTCCTTCAACCAGAGCTTGGACGACGTTGTTCTGCCCGGCAGCTTGCAGTCGTTGACCTTCGGCGTTTTCTTCAACCAGAGCTTGGAGAACGTGACGCTGCCCAGCAGCTTGCAGTCACTGACCTTCGACGGTGCCTTCAGAAGAAGTTTGCAGAACGTGGTTCTTCCCGGCAGCTTGCGGTCATTGACCTTCGGCGATGGCGATGGCTTCGACCAGAGCTTGGAGAACGTTGTGCTGCCTGGCAGTTTGCAGTCCTTGACCTTCGGCGAGTCCTTCAACGAGCGCTTGGAGAACGTTGTGCTGCCTGGCAGCTTGCAGTCATTGACCTTGGGTGGTTCCTTCAACCAGAGCTTGGACGACATTGAGCTGCCTGGCAGCTTGCAGTCATTGACCTTTGGCGATTCCTTCAACCAGAGCTTGGACAACGTTGTGCTGCCTGGCAGCTTGCAGTCATTGACCTTCGGCGATTGCTTCGACCAGAGCTTGGAGAACGTGGCGCTGCCTGGCAGCTTGCAGTCATTGACCTTCGGCAGATAGTTCGACCAGAGCTTGGAGAACGTGGTGCTGCCTGGCAGCTTGCAGTCACTGACCTTCGGCAGATACTTCAACCAAAGCTTGGAGAAGGTGGCGCTGCCGGGCAGCTTGCAGTCGTTGACCCTTGGTCGGCACTTCGACCAAAGCTTGGATCACTTGAGTTTGCAACCAAGCTTGCTGAGTTTTAGTGATACGTCTTGCCATGTGGCTGTTTACTCTGCGGCCTGACCGCGTATCATGAGTATTGACACTTCAGCATGGCCCTGCCTGAGAGCTGCGTCTGGATCTGGGCCCTATGTGTCTGAGCGCCCTCCGCCCGATGGCCACATCTAACGAAGGAAGCAGCTTTGGGTCACCAGAAGGTGTGGCCTACGGTTTGAACATGTTTGAAGGACCACACGACCAGCCGCGATGAAATGCTTGTTTCCTGGCCACATTGTTCTGAAGGCTCCCTCCAATGTGCGAAGTCGTTCGACGGTCCCTTGGTCCGGTAGCAGGTGCTAGCTTCGTTGCAAGCACGGTCGCTTCTCGGGTAGGTGGTTCTTTTTGCACGGCGCTGTGTAAACAACTCTTGCCCCAGATTTACTTGCTGGTTCTTCTTTGGGAATGAGTACCCTACAGAACCCCGTAAAGGGTATATGTAGGGCCCTAAATCCTCATTCCTGACTAAGAACCAGTGGTTTTTTCGTACGCTATGCGCGGTCCATTCCATGTCAGGGGGACCCTGACCGAGCCATGCCGAGAGGGTTTAGGGTTTAGGGTTTAGGGTTTAGGGTTTAGGGTTTAGGGAAGCCCTAAAGCCTCGATGGGTTGGGTGTTTGACTTGCCTTTCGATGAGAATATGACGGTGAAAGCCCACCAAACCCTAAACCCTAAACCCTAAGCCCTAAACCCTAAATCCTAAACCCTAACCCCTAAACCCTAAACCCTAAACCCTGAACCCCTAAACCCTAAACCCTAAACCCTAACCCCTGAACCCTAAACCGCAGAACGGCCTGAACCCGAAGCCCCAAACCCTCAACCCTATTCGAATTGCGTCGCACGCCAGAGGTGCCTGGAAGATACAGCGACGAAGAGGGCGCCAGCGCGGCATCCTTGGCTAGCGTAGGTTTCTTCTTGTCTCTTGGTCGTGGGCTCGTAAGCCCTAAACCCTAACAATCCCCCCCCCGAAACACTAGGACTAGTAAACAACCTGAAGCCCGAATCCGAAAATCAGAGGGGGGTACTGTATTTTGTTTTTCCACGCTCCACTCTGAAAATTTAAATCCTAAACCCTAAACCCGAAGCCCTAGACCCTAAACCCTGAAGTTTAGGGGTGGTTAGGGGTGGTTGAGATTGTGGGGTTGCGGGCGCACCCCATACCAAAATCCCCAAACCTGGCTGAGAGCGGTGGGCAATATATAACTTAGGGCGTGCGGATGGCACCCGGCTGCGGACTTGGGAGAGCTGGTAAAGTTCTTTCAAGGCTTTCCTGCGATCCCGAAACGGTTAGGGTTTAGGGTTTAGGGTTTAGGGTTTAGGGTTTAGGGTTTAGGGTTTAGGGTTTAGGGTTTAGGGTTTAGGGTTTAGGGTTTAGGGTTTAGGGTACCCCAAACCCGAAACCCTTAATCCCTTTTTTCCTCAAGGCCTGCTCCCTTTGCAGCCCCGGCCGCTATGCCACGGAGCCCGGGCCCCGGTTCTCGCCTCTCGAGAACCATTTCAGGGCCAACTCGGTCAGGGTTTAGGGTTTAGGGTGTAGGGTTTAGGGTTTAGGGTTTAGGGTTTAGGGTTTAAAAGTTTAGGGTTTAGGGTTTACGGGTTTACGGGTTTAGGGTCTAGGGTCTAGGGTTTAGGGGCCAGGGATGAGGGTTTTGGGTTTAGGTTTCTGCTTTTGGTTCAGGGCTAGGCTTTGGGGTTGAGGGGTTTCGGCTGACGTTCAGGGGTTGGGGTTAATGGTTTAGTATTGTTGGTTTCGGGTTTTGAGGAATGGCTCATACACGCTTGCTGTCTGTTGGGGGCAGTGATAGGCCGAATCCTTCGCGATAGTCGAGCCCTGGCTCTCTATAGGGTTTAGAGTTTAGGAGGGTTTAGGGTTTAGGGTTTAGGGTTTAGGGTTTAGGGTTTAGGGTTTAGGGTTTCGGGTTTAGGGCAACACGGACTTCGCCGTGTGTCGAGTAGCAGCACACCCAAACAGCCAGGGGGTTGCCCAGCACCGAACCGTGGAATTGAAATCCCACGGTGACAGGCAAGGCCAGTGGCCTGATAGGCCTCCAAGTTCGCCTTTCAAGAGGTATAAGGAGGGAGGGACCCCTAGAAGGGACCCTTAGTCTTATGCCCCTATACAACCCCTACATAGTCCTTCTATCGTCCTTATATTCTCTAAGTAGCCCCTAAGCAACCCCTAAACCTTAAAACCCTAAACCCTAAGGTTCCTTGTAAGGGTCCCTCCCCTAGTCCCTTGAGCCTTGACTTGGGCAAGGCTCTCGACCACTTCTTTAAACAGGGTTTAGGGGTTTAGAGGTTCTGGGGTTTGGAGTTTAGGGGCTTTAGCTTTAGGGGCTTTAGGGGCTTTAAGGGGCTTAAAGGGCTTTAGGGGCTTTAGGGGGCTTTAGGGGCTCTGGGGGCTTTAGGGGCTTTAGGGGGCTTTAGGGGCTTTAGGGGCTTTAGGGGCTTTAGGGGCTTTAGGGGCTTTAGGGGCTTTAGGGGGCTTGAGGGGCTTTAGGGTATCCCGGAGAGCCAACCCCGAAGCCCTTAAACCCCCAAAACCCCAAAACCCAAAGCCCTAAACCCTGAAAGCGTAAACCCTCAACCCTAGAGCCCGTAAACCCAATAAACCCTAAACCCAATAAACCCTAAACCCTAAACCCTAAACCCTAAACCCTAAACCCTAAACCCTAAACCCTAAACCCTAAACCCTAAACCCTAAACCCTAAACCCTAAACCTCTCAGAACCCTGACCCCCAGGACTGGTGCGAGCTCCGTGGAGGTTTGCCAGGATTGCGGCGCAGGTGCCCCTTGCGGGGTGGGTAGGGTTTAGGGTTTAGGGTTTAGGGTTTAGGGTTTAGGGTTTAGGGTTTTTTAGGGTTTAGGGTTTGGGGTTTAGGGTTTAGGGTTTAGGGTTTAGGGTTCAGAGTGCTTCAGGGTGGGCCTTGAGCGTTTCGGGTTTTGGGGGGTTTAGTGTTTTAGGGTTTAGGGTTTAGGGTTTAGGGTTTGGGGGGTTTAGTGTTTTAGGGTTTAGGGTTTAGGGTTTAGGGTTTAGGGTTTGGGGGTTTAGTGTTTTAGGGTTTCATGATGCTTGGAGGTTTAGGGAGGGCTACAACTGCGCTTGTACGGAGGGTTACCGTAGCTTCAGCTACTTCTGACTGTGACGAGTTTCTTCTAACACAACCCTGAGCCCTAAACCCTAAACCCTAAACCCGAAACCCTAAACCCGAAAACCCTAAACCCTAAACACTTAATGTCTCCCATGGGCTTGCGGTAGGCCGCGCCAGCAGCGAGGGCGCTGGCAGTTGCAGCGACTGCTCGCCGGGGCGCAGGGCTCTCAGTGTGTCTAGGGTCTAGGGTTTAGGGTTTAGGGTTTAGGGAGTGTCTGCTTTTTTCCGGCTTCGGGCTTGGGGCTCTAGAGTTACCTCCCGTGCTTAGGGTTTAGGGCTCTTGAATGATGATAAGAGGTTTTGGGGCTTAGGGTTTCGGGTTTAGGGTTTTGGGTTTAGGGTTTAGGGTTTTTGGGGTTTAGGGTTTAGGGTTTAGGGTTTTTGGGGTTTGGGCTTCGGGCTTCGAGGGTCTAATTAGAGTTTCTGGGGTTTTGGGTTGAGGGTTTTCGGGGTTTAGGGTTTAGGGCTTGGGGTTTGTCTAGGGTTACAAGGCTTGGGGTTTAAGGGTCTGGGGTTTCGATTTTCAGGGTTTAGGTCGAGGGTTGGCCCTTGCAATGTAAGCATACATGGCGGATACGCATAGTGTAGCTTCTGCAGATATCTGCCCAGAGAGATCGTATCCTCGCAGGGTGGAAAGAAGAGGAACTGCTTTGCCATGTTGACCCTAAACCCTAACCTCGAAACCCCCTGCACTAGGTCCACACACTGCAAAACATCTAGATATCGTGAGGGCTCTGTGGGCAGTCCACTTTTCCCAGAGGGTTGGTGCGTGGGGGCATGCGACAACCGAAGCCCCAAACCCTAAGCCCTAAGCCCTAAGCAACACCTTGGAATCCCAAGAGCTGATGCCTAACCTGGAGAACCCCGAAGCTTTAAGGGTTAGGGTTTGGGGTTGCTGGGGTTTGGGTGTAGACCCTTGAAGCACGAAAGACCCCAAACTTCAAAACCTAAGCCCCTAACCCAAAACCCTGAAAGCCCCAAAGCCCTAAACCTGGCCCCTTTAAACCCGATACACGTTTCAGCCCCTTACACCCCTCAGAGCCCAAACCCTATAAGCTCCATACACCCTCTGGGCCGTAACCCTATTCCCTCCTTAGGAATTATCTTCTTATTGTTGTTTATATAAAACCCAAGGTAATCGGTAAAGTAATGTGTCTATTAAGGTTCTAAGGGGATGACTGCCCCTTCTAGGCGTTGGATGCCTAGGCTCTGTCATATGCAAGACCCGCGGCCTGCCTCTGGACAGCCGCCGCAGTCCACCAAGCTGTGTGCCCACTTTAACACTCGTGGTGGCTGCAAGCGGGGGCGCAAGTGCAGATTTCTTCACGTCAGCAAGCAAGGAGAGGTCATGAGTTCGCGGACTGACCAGACCTTCAAGCACAAACTGCCGAGATGGTTGGAAAGGGAAGAATCCCTTACCACGCTTGGCAAGGTTTCGGTCGCTAAAGCCCTAAAGCCCTGCTGAACTGAATGTTCCGGTGAGCCCGGCTTAGAACCCGTAAGCCTTTTTCGCACCCTAAACCCCAAACTCCAAACCCCAAACCCTAAACAGACCCTAAACCCTAAACCTCAAAACCCTAATCCCCTAAACCCTGAACCTTAAAACCCTAAACCTAAACCCTAAACCCTAAACCCCCGAAGCCCCTAACAGGCCATGCGCCGAGCAACGCCAGCGCCAGCTGCGCCGAGTGCCCCGCGGGGCGCTTTGTGGAGGAGCATCGGGTGTTTCGGGTTTAGGGTTTAGGGTTTGGGGTTTTAATGGGTTTGGGGTTTAGGGTTTTAGGGTTTAGGGTTTAGGATTTAGGGTTCAGGGTTTGGGGCTTTAGGAGTTTAGGAGTTAGGAGTTTAGGGGTTTGGGTAATTTAGGGGGCTTAAGGGTTTTTTCACGGTTTTGGGGTTTAGGGTCTCGGGGTTGGGGAATTTAGGGCTCAGGGATGTAGGAGCTAGGGCATGTCGGGTGGAGGGTCTAAGGACTGCAGGATGTGAGGCAGGTTTAGGGTTTTCAGGAATAAACCCTAAACCCTAAACCCTAAACCCCTAAACCCCTAAACCCTAAACCCTAAACCCCGAAACCCCGAAACCCCTAAACCCCGAAGCCCCTAAACCCCTAAACCCCTAAACTCCTAAACCCTAAACCCTAAGCCCTAAACCCTACACCCGAAACTCTCAACCCCAAATCCCAAAACCCCAACCCTAAACCCTAAAGCCTAACCCTAAACCCTAAACCTCTCTACCATATAACCCTAAATGTTAAGCACTAATTGTAGAATTTGATCAGTTTTTTGTTTTTCACTTTGTTTTTTTACCCCCCCCCCCATTGTTCGGCACGAATTGGAGAATTTGATCCATTTCGACCGCTCTGTGTCCCCTGAAATTTTGATCTCTCTAACCCTCCATGGTTCAGCACGAATAAGAAATGAATAGACTTTCTATTTTCGTATTGTTATGGGATTCTTTGGGCGGGTGGGTCTTGTTCCGTTGCCTACACACACTGCTGGCCTAGTAAATTCTCGAACTTGAGATGCTGAACCCTAAGCCCTAAGCCCTAAACCCTAAACCCTAAAAACCCTACACCCGAAACCCTAAACCCCAAATCCCAAAGCCCTAAACCCCTAAACCCTAAACCCGAAACCCTAAACCCTAAACCCTAAACCCTAAAACCCTAAAACCCTAAAACCCGAAAGCGGCCAGAGCAGGCCGCCTTGGCAAGCAGCTGCCACCTTTGCCCTTCGGGCCGCTTTGGCGCCACGCCAGGCCAGGCCAGCGAAGACCAGGCGGGGCCTGGATTGGAGGGTGTGGGGCTTTAAGGTTTAGGGTGCAGGGGTTTGGGGTTTTAGGGTTTAGGGTTTAGGGTTTAGGGTTTCAGGGTTTAGGGGCTTAGGGTTCAGGGTTTAGTGGCTTAGAGTTTAGGGTTTAGGGTTTAGGTTTTGGCCCTCAGCCCTAAGCCTCTTGGGGTTTAGGGTTCAGGGTTTAGGACTTAGGGTTCTAAGGCCCGCTCGACAAGTCGGGTCACGCGCATGCGTGCTTTTAGCACCAGCGCGCCCCCTCAATAAGGATGCTCTTCCAACTCTAAGCCCTAAGCCCTAAACCCCAAACCCTATAAACCCTATAAACCCTATAAGCTCTATAAACCCTCTAAACCCTCTAAACCCTATCTGCCATATAAACCCTATAAGCCCTATAAACCCTATAAACCCCATAAACCCTATAAACCCTATAAGCCCTATAAACCTCCCAAGGCTTGCAGCGACTGCGGCGCGGGCCGCTACGGGGACACCGAGGGGGCTGGCACCTGCGACCCCTGCGCACCAGGCCACTTGATTGGGTTGAGGGTTTAGGGTTTAGGGTTTAGGGTTTAGGGTTTAGGGTTCAGGGTTTAGGGTTTAGGGTTTAGGGTTTAGGGTTTAGGGTTTAGGGTTTAGGGTCTAGGGTTTAGGGTTTGGGGTTTGGGGTTTAGGGTTTAGGGTTTCGGGTTTAGGGTGTAGTGTTTAGGGTGCAGGGTTTAGGGGTTCAGGGGTTTATGGCTTAATGGGGGGTTTAGGGGGTTTAGGGGTTTAGTTTAGGGGTTTAGGGCTTTAGGGGTTTATGGGGTTTAGGGTTTTAGGGTTTTAAGGGTTTAGGGGTTTCGGGGTTAGGGTTTTAAGGGTTTAGGGGTTTCGGGGTTAGGGTTTCAAGGGTTTAGGGGTTCAGGGTTTTAGGGGTGTAGGGAAGCAGGGGTTTGGGGTTTATGTTTTGAGATGTTTGAGGCGCTTGAGGGGTTGGAGGTACTTGAGGTGTTCAGGTTAGGTTTTCAATGCGCCAGGCCACTTGAGGTATTTGAGTTTATAGGGTTGAGGTTGTTATAGGGTAAGTTTAGGGGGTTGAGGGTTGAGGGCGCTCCACAGGGGACCCTAAAACACCCAAGCCGCAAACTGGGTCTAGGACTTGGAGTTTAGGGTTTGGGTTTTTTTGTTTTAGTTTAGGGTTTAGGGTTTAGGGTTAGGGTTTAGGGTTTAGGGTTTAGGGTTTAGGGTTTAGGGTTTAGGGTTTAGGGTTTAGGGTTTAGGGTTTAGGGTTTAGGGTTTAGGGTTCAGGGGTTTAGGGGTTAAGGGGTTAAGGGGTTTAGGAGTTTAGGGTTTAGGGTTTAGGGTTCCCTTCAACTCTCCTCGCGCCACGTGCCCACGTCCGTTGCCGCGAGGTCGCTGGTCGGATGCCTCGCGGGCCACGCGCTGCACGGCGCCCTTCACCGAAGTGGCTGGGGGTTTAGGGTTTAGGGTTTAGGGTTGTCGGGGTCCATAGTCCTGAAAGGAGGGGGGGGGGGAGCTTAGGGGCAATGTAGGGGCTACCTAGGTATATAAATATAAGGTATATAAAGGAGGTTTTCGGGGTCCAATAAGGGACCTTAGAGGTTACTCCGAATTCTGGAAAATAAGATCAAGGGTCCCTTCTCGGTCCAGCGCCGTTAAGCTGTGTAGGGTTTAGGGTTTAGGGTTTGGGGTTTAGGGTTTAGGGTTTGGCTACGAGGACCAAAGGGCAACCCCCCAGAAGCTCTAGACTCTAGATGCTCGCCCTGCGTACAACCTCAGTTATGCCGGAGGGGGGGGGGTGTTTGCAGACTCTAACCCCTAACCCTAAACCCTAAACCCTAAGCCTAAACCCTAAACCCTAAACCCTAAACCCTAAACCCTAAACCCGAAACCCTAAACCCGAAACCCGAAACCCGAAACCCTAAACCCTAAACCCTAAACCCTGAACCCCAAACCCCAACATGCCCTAAGCACTGTGGCCCAGGATTGTCCCGCTGGGCGCGCCAGCAGCCAGGTCGGCGCCACAACGCAGGCAAGGAAAGTCTAGGATTGGGGAAAGGTTACCCCGAAGCCCTGCAAACAACACCGGTTTCAGGCCACGTGAATGTCTGGGGACCCTCTATGATCAGTTCCGTATCCCTAAGCCCCAAACTAATCCCCCAGCTATAGCAGCACCCCCGCCTCCCCAAATCACGGGGCAGGCCCTTGGAGCAAAAATGCATTCTGCCCTTGTTGGGTTTATATACGAGGATTGCATGTAGGAGTCATTTTTCTGAGGGGCTAATCCTCTTCCGAGGGGTTTACAGATCTAAGCTAGATTAGGCCTGGTGCCTCCGCTGTGGCGTGGGCAATGTCAGCGGCCTGGGCGCCGAATTCTGCGATCCCTGCGCCGCCGGGCGGTGGCAGAGCGATGCTCGACTCGTACGTAGAGTTGTTGTTTTTTTGTCGGGTTTTCTAGGATTTCGGTCAGAAAAGCCTATAAACCCTAAAACATCCCATGGGCCCTATGACGCCTAGTTGATCAGCCGCCATCCGAGCCCTGTGGCCTTGTGCGTCTTGCAAGCCCAGGGGGATGGCTCGCCGCCAGCGGGTTTATGTAGGGTGGGCTCCAGTACTTCTTGACGAGGGAATCTTCCTTAAACGTAGACTTAGGATCCGAAGATGATTTTAGGAACGTTCCTTGTTCAAGGGGCATTGGGGTCAGGGTATTTGTGAGCTTTTGTGGGGTTGACATAGGGTTTGGAGGGCTTGCATCGGTTTCGATAGGGCTGTTAGTCGGTAGGGATGATGAGGTTTGTACCGTTTATTGAGCAACACAGGATTAACATGGTTCATGGGCTTCTAAGGTTTCAAGGGTAGGGTTTAGGGTTTGTTCAAGGCGCCCCAGAACCTTGGGGGTCTAGGGTTTGGGGTAGCTAGTGCTTGCGGCCTGGGCGTCCAGGCATCTATAGCTTTATGGCGGCGTGGGTGGTGCAGACTCCCAGAGTAGGGAACCCTTCAACAGAGGCTTATGACAGCACCCTTGACCTAGGCCTTTTCCCAACACCCACAACCATAAGCAGTTGAAATACACCTAATCCCAAAACGTATAGCATAAAGAAGCCCCGAGCCGGCCTAAACCTCGAACCTTAAACTTCAAACGTAGACCCCAACTTTGACTGAACTTTCGACTAGAATAGGCCCTAAACGAGGTTAGGGTTTAGGGTTTAGGGTTTAGGGTTTAGGGTTTAGGGTTTCCAGACACAAACCCAAGAAATCAAGCGGCGGGCCGGAAATCGATGGCAGCCCTAGAGCTCATGTAAGAAGCCGAGGAACCAGCTGCTCGGAACAACCACACCCCCAAGCCGTTTAGGGTTTAGGGTTTAGGGTTTAGGGTTTAGGGTTTAGGAGGGTTTAAGGTGGAGGGTTTAGGGTTTACGGATGTTTACGGTTTGAGGTTTGGGGTTTAGGGTTTGGGGGCTCCCGAACGTTCTTCCAACACTAGCCTCAACCGCCCCATTCCTTTCCCTCCGATTAACCAACAGCAAGAAGCCCTAAACCCTAAACCTTAAACCCTGAACCCTAAACCTTAAAACCCTGAACGCTAAACGGCCCTAAACCTTCAGCCCTGACCTTTCCCCATAAGCCCTAAGCCCAAACCGTAGCCCTAAACCCTAAACCCTAAAACCTAAGCCCTAAACCCTAAACCCTAAACCCTAGCCCTAAACCCGAAACCCTAAACCCTAAACCCTAAACCCTAAACCCTAAACCCTAAACCCTAAACCCTTGAGCATCCCGAGCCCCGAGGACGAAGGCCAGAGCGAGTGTCAGGAATGCGACGCCGGACGCTGGACGCCGCTCGGCCTTGACCACAAGAAGCCACAGTGTAGGGTTTAGGGTTTAGGGTTTAGGGTTTAGGGTTTAGGGTTTAGGGTTTAGGGTTTAGGGTTTAGGATTTACGGTTTAGGGTTTAGGGCTTAGGGTTTAGGGTTAGGGTTTAGGGCTTAGGGTTTCGGGTTTAGGGTTTGGGGCTTGTAGGTATGTGTTTGGCTGGTTTAGGGATGTACGAACCCTCAACCCTCAAAACCCTATGAAGCTAAGCCCTAAGACCCTAAACCCTAAAGATTCAACCCCTAAAGGCCTAAAGGCCTGAACCCTGAAACCCTAAGCCCCCGAAAACCCTAAACCCTAAACCCTAAACCCTAAACCCGAAACCCTGAACAAAAGAGACCAGGTCCCAACTGGGGAGCAGCGCCTGCCAAGCCTGCGATGTTGGGCGCTTCGCCGCCTCGGCCGCGGCGACCTCCGTGGAGGCGAAGTTTTTTTTGGGGTTTAGGGTTTGGGGTTTGGGGTTTAGGGTTTAGGGTTTAGGGTTTGGGGTTTAGGTTTTAGGGTTTGGGGTTTAGGGTTTGAGGTTTAGGGTTTGGGTTTTGGGGTTTAGGGTTTTAGGTTTTAGGGTTTGGGGTTTGGGGTTTAGGGTTTAGGGTTTTAGGGTTTAGGGGGCGTTGTTTGGGGGTTTTAGGCCTCGACAATGGCCGCCGGCCCACAGGATGCCCCAAAAAACCGCCCCAGAACCCCCAGGCTTAGGGGTTTAGGGGGGTTGAGGGTTTAGGGTTTAGGGTTTAGGGTTTAGGGGGGTTTAGGGTTTAGGGTTTAGGGTTTAGGGTTTAGGGTTTAGGGTTTAGGGTTGAGGGTTTAGGGTTTAGGGTTTAGGGTTCACGCCTGTGGCGTTCAAACCCAAAAACAAGACCCGACACGCGAAAGCCCTTGGCCCAAAAGACTTTCATAAGCCCTTCAAGGTCCTGACAAACCTTTTCCAAAGTCCCCAAAGCCGCAAAAAAGCATCACCTCAGAAGAAACACAAGTGTTACAAAGCTTTCTAGGCACATCATAAGAACGTGAGAAGCGCCCTAAACCATGAACCTGACACCCGAAGCCCTAAACCCTAAACCCCTAACCCCTAACCCCTAAACCCTAAACCCTAAACCCTCCAGGACTGTCGCCTCTGCCCCGCGGGCCGGGCGACGGCAGAGCTCGGGTCGTCCAGCAGCTCACCTCCCAAGTGGAGCAAAAGGGGGCCGGTAGAGTGGGGGGGTTTCCGAGTTTAGGGTTTAGGGTTTAGGGTTTAGGGTTATTGGGGTCCTGATGATAAGGGAATCTACTCTTTGGGGTTCTATGTTAGGGGTGCCTTGTGTTAGTGAACCCCCCCCCCCATATGGGTGAGGTAGTGGTTGGCAGTTTCGAGTCAAGGCTTTGGCGCGGTTGGGTTTAACCCCAACCCCCCAAACCCCCACACCCAAAAAACACCAAACCCTAAACCCTAAACCCCAAACTCCAAACCCCAAACCCCAAACCCCAAACCCTAAACCCTAAACCCTAAACCCCACTGGGTCATGTAAGCCCTAGACCCTAAACCCTAACCTCTAAACAGACCCCAAGCCTTTAACCCTAAACCGTGAGGTTGCACCTTATGCGACGCGGGGACGTTCACTGGCGAAGAGGGAGTGCCCCGGATGCGGTTGAGTGTTTGTGCGTTTTATGGCTTTCAGGCTGTGAGCCCGTATTACCCGAAACTCTGCGAATTCCCCAAAGCTCTAGACCTTAACCCTAAACCCTAAAACTCGAAACCCCTGGACCCTAGGGCTTGTAGCCCTAAACCCTAAACCCTAAACCCTAAACCCCAAATCCCAAATCCTAAACCCTAAACCCTAGACCCTAAACCCTAAACCCTAAACCCTAGAACCCCGAAAGCCCAAGGAAACAGCCTGCACGTCCTGCCGCCCTGGAACGGCCAGTGGCTCCCTCGGGGCGAGTAGCGAGGCGGTCTGGACCAGGTTTGGGGGTTTGTGGGGTTTAGGGTTTAGGGTTTAGGGTCTAGGGTTTAGGGGTCTAGGGTTTGGGGTTGGGTTTAGGGTTGGTTAGGGTTTCGGGGTTGGGGTTTAAGGGTTTAGGGTTTAGGGGTTCAGGAGGGGTTTAGGGGTTTAGGGCTTCAGGGGTTTCGGGTTAGGGTTTCGGGGTTTCGGGGTTCAGGGTTCAGGGGGGTTCAGGGGTTCAGGGGTTCAGGAGTTCAGGGGTTCAGGGGTTCAGGGTTCAGGGGTTCAGGGGTTTCGGGGTTCAGGGGCTTCCGGGTTGAGGGTTTCGGGTCTAGAGGTTTAGAGTCTAGGGTTTCGGGTTTAGGGTTGCGGGTGTAGGATGTGCGGGGCTGGAGGGTCCTAAGCCCCCATGCGGGCGAGACGGTAATCCTGAACCGTCAAAAGCCCTCAGCTCAGGACATCTCCAGGCGGGTATTAGGGTTTAGGGTTTGGGGTTATAGGGGTCGGAATAGTATAGTTACTGATATTCTTCCCTTCTGGCCCCTTATAGAGTTATTTAAAGGCTGACGCCGCTGCCGCCGACCCCAAGATAAGGACGTCCGGGCGCCGGGCCCTCTTCCGGACCCACCCGCTTAACAACAAATTTGGTTGCTTTTGGTCATTCTTCTGTGGGGGGGGCTAGGAAGGGGTTGGGGGGGGGGGGGGAGGGGGGGGGGGAGGGGGGGGGGAGGGGGGGGGTACGGGGTGAGGGTTGGGGGGTGGTAGGGCAAAAAATGGGGGGGGGGGGGGGGGGGTGGGGGGGGGCAGGTAGGGGGGGGGGGGGGGGGGGGGGGGGGTACGGGGTGAGGGTGGGCTCGGCAGGGGGGTAGGGGGGGGGGGGGGGAGGGGGGGGGTACGGGGTGAGGAGGTGCGCCAACACAAAACGCGGTGGTTTTTTTATTGACTTGGCCGCCACAAATTCGGTTGCTTCTGGTCCTTCTCCTGTGGGGGGGGGGCTAGGCAGGGGTAGGGTGCAGCCAACACAAAACGCGTGGTTCCACCGTCTTCTTGGGGGTACGGGGTGGGGGTAGGTAGGGGGGGGAGGGGGGGGGGTACGGGGTGAGGGCAGGCAGGGGGGGGGGAAGGAGGTGCGCCAACACAAAACGCGGTGGTTTTTTTATTGACTTGGCCGCCACAAATTCGGTTGCTTCTGGTCCTTCTCCTGTGGGGGGGGGGGCTAGGCAGGGGTAGGGTGCAGCCAACACAAAACGCGTGGTTCCACCGTCTTCTCGGGGCTACGGGGTGGGGGTAGGTAGGGGGGGGGAGGCCGCGCGGGTCCATGGGGAGGGGTCCAGCGGGAAAGGTACGAGTCCAGCTTCTTGACGCCGACAAAGGGGGTCGGCGGATACCTCAATAACCCCCAAAAGCGCCCTATTCGAATTCTTAAGGCCCCCTGCAGTAGATACTCCTTGTCATCACACAGGTTTAGGGTTTAGGGTTTAGGGTTTAGGGTTTAGGGTTTAGGGTTTAGGGTTTAGGGTTTAGGGTTTAGGGTTTAGGGTTTCGAAGCCAGCCACAGAACTCAAGGATGCTACCCACACCGCGAAGGGGCTAGGACTTCCAAGCCCCTACAGCCCCCAAAAGCCCCGAAAGCCCCTGAAAGCCCCTGAAAGCCCCAAACCCCGGACCCTAAATGCCGGACAACCCTGAAAAACCCCTGAACCCTAAACCCTAAACCCTAAACCCTAAACCCTAAACCCTAAGCCCTAAACCCCTAAACCCCTAACCCTAAACCCTAAACCCCACCCGCCAAAGCCCTGCGTTCAGGGCATGTGCGCGCCCTGCGAGTTGGGTCGCTGGAGTGGAGCGGGCGCTGCGGTGCCCCGGTGAGGGTTCCGGGTGGGGGTTTTGGGAGATTAAGGGTTTAGGGTTTGGGGTTTAGGGTTTAGGGTTTGGGGTTTAGGGTTTGGGGTTTAGGGTTTGGGGTTTAGGGTTTGGGGTTTAGGGTTTGGGGTTGAGGTTCTGGGGTTTGGAGGTGTAAGGGTTTTGAGGGTTTGGGGGGTTTTATGGTCTCTTGGGGTTCAGAGTTGGATTTTGGGGTAAAGGGCACGTGGGCCCACGTGCCCCCCCTTTGCTTTCGCGTTTTTGAACGACTTGTCTGTGCACTGTGTACTCATTGCTGCTGAGTGGTTGGCTAAGCACTGAAATGGGTATCTCCCAAAATAGCTGGTACCCGTTGTAGACCCCTAAATAGAGTAGAATCCCCTTAAAGAAAGGGTCTATACCCCTATTTCGGAACCCCCCAAGTTCATCCCTCAACCCCTCTGGCGTCCACCACCAGCCCCTGCCGGGAGGTTCATGGTACTTATTGAGCCAATCATACCCAGATGGGAGTTTGCGATAATCAGGGGCCCGAAGATAGACCCTAGAAAAAGGACCCGAATGAGTCTAATGAGGCTGCGAATGTCGGAACCCGCCCATATTCGGTTACTTACGGGACTACACTTACCTCTCCAAGGCGCCTCTCGGGTATACTCTCCCGAACCCTAAACCCTAAACCCTCTAAACCCTTGAAAGTTACAAAGTGCCCTCTGAACCTCCAAGCAAGGCCTGCGCCTGGTGTGCGGCCGGCACCTTCGGCAACAAGCAAGGCGCTGGCATCGGATTGAAGCGGGTTTAGGGGGTTTCGGGGCGTTGGTTTGGGGGGGGTTTAGGGGGTTTAGGGCTTGGAGGGTTTGGAGGGTTTAGGGGGTTTAGGGGGTTTAGGGTTTAGGGTTCATGGAGTGACTTGGGACCCGAAAGCCAAAAACACGGTCTACCGTACGCCTTTTCGCCGATACCCTGAATCCCAAAACCAAACCTTCAGGACGTGGGGACAGCCTAAACCCTAAACCCTGAGCCCGAAACCCTAAACCCTAAACCCTAAACCCTAAACCCTAAACCCTAAACCCTAAACCCTAAACCCTAAACCCTGAACCTTGGCAGCCCCCCAGAACTTTCGAAGTCTGCCAGAGGCACGCCCGCCAACCGCGAGTTGTCCCTGAATCTTCATCCTGGAGTCCTAGAAATCGTTAAGTAGGATGCCCAGCAAACCTAAACCCTAAACCCTAAACCCTAAACCCTAAACCCTAAACCCTAAACCCTAAACCCTAAACCCTAAACCCTAAACCCTAAACCCTAAACCCTGAACCCTGAACCCTGAACCCTGAACCCTGAACCCTGAACCCTGAACCCTGAACCCTGAACCCTGAACCCTGAACCCTTTTTTGCTGCTGGGAGACCTAGTGTAAGTAAGGGGCGTGTCTCTGTGACGTGATCGCCTCTGAACCCTGAAGCGCCAAGCCGCGCGAAGCCTTCAACCCTAACCCTAAAACCCGAACCCTAAAGGGTTTAGGGTTTAGGGTTTAGGGTTTAGGGTTTAGGGTTTAGGGTCCAAATCCCTAAGCCCTGCGAAAGCCCTAAACCCCCGTAGGCATGACGCAGTGCCACCCTTGTGGCGTCGGCACCTACCGCGCGGACACGGGCGGCACCTCCGCCGAAGACTGCAGCAAGCGCCCCCGAAGCATCAGGGCCAATGAAGGGGTCAAGCGTTTGTGGGGCTTCGGGTTCTAAACCCCGAACCCTAAACCCTAAACCCTATGCCCTAAACCCTACACCCTAAACCCTAAACCTTAAACCCTGAACCCTAAACCCTAGAACCCTAAACCCCCTTAACCGTAGGAAGGGCGGCCTTAGGGCTTCGGGCGTTTAGGGGAGTGGTAGGGAGTTGCAGGCTTTGGGCTTTACGGGGCTTTAGAGAGTTTCAGGGTTAGGGTTCAGGGTTTTCGGTTTGGAGTTGAGGACTCAGCATTTTTAGGCTTCGGGTTCCTGGTTTCTGGGTTTTCGGCTGTTGGATTCCGGGTTTCGGATACAGGGTTTGGTGATTTCGTGTGCGTTTGTTCCCCCCATGAACCGCAAACCCCAAATCCTCAACCTTAAACCCACAATGCGCAAACCCCAAACCCTAAACCCGTACACCCTGAACAGCCCTCAGCGCCTCGGCCCATAAGCCCCCCATAAAACACCACCCTCAGCCCCTAACCCTCAGCCCCCGTAAACCCAAAACCCTTAAACGCCTCAAGCAGCCTCCCCGCCCCAAACATCCTCACGTCAAGGGCAAGTTGAGCGGAATGAGCGGCGAGAGGTCCAGGAGCCAAGGCAACAACCAGGGGGCGCCTTCCACACGCCTTGCCTTGCCAGACGAAGACAGACGGAACGCTCTGTTGAGCGAGCACAGCGCGAGTACTTCCTGTTCATAATTATGGTCCCTTTTTGGATCCCTCTTATAGTACGGCAAATATTTAGGGTACCCCAAAAGGGATCATAATTTTGACAACCGCCCTAGCTCTGGGCATGGTTGCGCACTCCATCTCGGAGAGGTGGCACGAGGGCATTGGGCAACTGGACTCCACACGGCTCAACGCTTTCAAGCCTCAACCCGAACCTCCCTAAAACCCCTAACCCCTAACCCCTAACCCCTAAACCCTAAACCCTAAACTCCAAACCCTAAACCCTAAACCCAAAACTACCCCCAACCCTCAACCTTAAACCCTAAACCCCCAAATTCAACACTCCCGAGAGGTGCTCCCAGGGGCGTTTCTCCACGGCCGTGGGCGCATCTGAGGCCCAGGCCCGGTTAACAGGGGGGAACCCTAAACCCTAAACCCTAAACCCTAAACCCTAAACCCTAAACCCTAAACCCTAAACCCTAAACCCTAAACCCTAAACCCTAAACCCTAAACCGGGCTGGAGCTTAAGAGCCTGATTTAGGGTTTAGGGGTTTAGGGGTTTAGGGGGTTTAGGGGGGTTTAGGGTTTAGGGGGGTTTAGGGTTATGGCTTAGGGGTTTAGGGGGTTTAGGGGGTTTAGGGGGTTTAGGGGGTTTAGGGGGTTTAGGGGTTTAGGGGTTTAGGGGTTTAGGGGTTTAGGGGTTTAGGGGTTTAGGGTTTAGGGCTGAGGGTTTTGGGGCTTCGGGCTTAAGAGCTGCAGAGGGGTTTCGGGGCCTTAACCCCATTGCAGTGAAAACCCCTGAAGCCGAAGCGCGAGGTCTGAAGGGCTGTGGGTAGTTGTAAGTAGGACTGCAAGGACCGCAGTTTAGGGTTCAGGGTTGAGGGTTTGGGGTTTAGGGTTTAGGGATACTGAACTCTAACCCCCCAAACTCCCAGGTTTGTGAGCGCTGTGCTGCCGGACGCTGGTCGGGAGAGCTGGGCGTCTCGCAGTGCGTGGCGTGCGAGGCGACTTGGGGGCTGTTGTTAGGGTTGAGGGCAGTTTAGGGTTTAGGGTTTAGGGCTTAGGGTTTAGGGTTTAGGGTTTGGGGTTTTCGGGTCTTAGGGTCTTAGGGTTTTAGGCTTTTTAGGGTTTAGGGGGATTTTAGGGTTTTAGGGTTTTACGGGTTTTAGGGTTTTAGGGTTTTAGGGTTTTAGGGTTTTAGGGTTTTAGGGTTTTAGGGTTTTAGAGTTTTAGGGGTTTTAGGGGTTTTAGGGTGTTTGGGTTTGAGGGTTTCAGGGTTTTAGGGGTTTGAGGGTTTTAGGGGTTTGAGGGTTTCCGGTTTTAGGGTTTTGAGGGTTTCCGGTTTTAGGGTTTTAGGGGGTTTCATTGTGCAGGGTCTACTTGAAGGTTCATGGGACGTGTCAAGTAGGGGGTTCTAAGAACGTTCAGGTTAGCCAACTTTCTTTCCCCCATACAAACCAATTGATAACTACGCATGAGCCTCGCCGAGGGTTTTGGGTTTCTTTGGCGAAGCCTGAGCCCAACCTCAAACCTCCGATTCCCAAAGCCCTAAACCCCGGACCCAATTCTTTTGAATCGAACCCTGAACCCTAAACCCTAAACCCTAAACCCTAAACCCTAAACCCTAACCCTAAACCCTAAACCCTAAACCCTAAACCCTAAACCCTAAACCCTAAACTCTGAACCCTAAACACCAAACCCTAAACCCCAAGCCCCAACTTCCAGGCGGGCAGGCTGGGCACTTCCACCGGTGCAGTAGACGCCGAGGTGGGCAGTTAG